GTCTAAAACCACAGGAAGATCGACACCCTGTGTTATACACCTCCACACAGCGGACCACTCCAACACATGAGGCTTGATAAGCAAACGGTCTTAGTTTGGCTTGGTTTTGTTATCAAGGTAGGTCAAAACACATACTCCTGAATCAGAACTATTCCCTCAATGTAGTCATCTTGGGAAAGTCTTTATAAGACACGATCCAACTGCAGAATTTATCCTGCATAGCAGACGTGTCCGAGTGACCGCACTTGCTCTGTGGCAGCCTCTGAGGCAACAGGCCGCTGGTGGCCTTGGGAACAGTGACAAGAAAGAGACTTCCAATGGCCCCGAGTACTATGGTGAGACTTGAGCAGCGTAATGACAGGTGATGAGGGCGGCTGGGAGGTGCCGCTTGTTCACAGGCCATTCTCAGGGAGGCTTGTCTGGGGAGGTGACATTCGAGCAGAGCCCTGCAGGAAGTGATGGGCGTGCCAGGCGGTGCCAGAGGAAGAGCATCTCTGGCACACAGGAGGAAGGCCTGAGGCTGGCAGTGTTCTGGTCCCACAAGGAGGGCGTGGGGGGTGCCCGAAGTTAAGAGGAGGGGAGGGGAGAGGGAGAGGGGGCCGAATCACCAGAGGCCTTGCAGCCATGGCAGGAAGTCTGGCTTTCAAACCCACCATAGGAGGAAGTCAGAGGATGCGCCAAGCAGAGGAATGGTGAGATTTCAGTGCTATTTGGAGCCCTCTGACTACTCTGTGGACAAGAACGGAAGTAGAAAACCAATTGATGGGCAACTGCATTCAGAATTTTACTGAAAATCAAAACCACTCAAAAAGAGAAATATTTGCCATTGTTGAAGATATTTCATAGAATACACCCCAGACTCTAAAAGCTATTTCCAAAGAACAGGCCCCAAATTTTTGAGCAGCAGTAGTCTCTTTCAAATTAGGGTACTGGGCAGTGCTGCCTCCCTATACCCCCCAACATGATTTTCTCAAAAGATAAGCTCTGGTGTGGCTTTTGACAACAGCCTCTTCACAGTCACACAGAGCTAACTTCCTCCAAGAGGCTGGAGCTCAGATATTCAGCAACCAGAGGACGATGAACAGCACCCATCACCACCAGCTCTCTGAGAAGTAGCCTGGACATGACGGTCATGGTCATGGGCAAGGAACTCCTGAACCAAAGGAATAGCGAATAAAAGCTCAGGTCTGCCTGGAATGTTCTCTCCCAGGACTCTTACTTATGATCTTGCGTGTTCCGGTCTCCCAAGCTTCAGGGAGCCAATTGCCTCTGAGCCTTGAAGTCCATTCCCTCCCCTTTTTCCTGGCGGTACATTTCCTTGGACTCATCATTCCTGGCCATCTCAGCAAGGAGATCCACGGGGCAGATTAGGGGGCAGGTCTAGAACACGAGCCGAGGAGGCCTCTCAGCCTGTTCCAAGCGTAAGCCCCAGACCAACCTGACACCTGGGCCAAAAAGGTCCTCCACCTGGTCTGCACCGACTCCCAAATCTCCCTGCGGTCTGAGCTAAAGCCACTGCCTGTACGGCGGAGTTTCTCCTCTCCTCTCTTCCTTGACCAATCCAGGGCAGTAGTGGGTGTGTCTGATCAAGATTAAAGGACCCTCTGTCCTAGCCCTTCTTTTAGTATCTCCCTCTATCAACAACAAAAACAAACAAAGACAAAAAACTAACAAGGCAGGTAATAAGATGCTACGATCTGTGCATAGATGCAAAAGTGCTACCATAGCAACTAATTCAAACATCACCAAGTCCTAAGAGGTCCCCTACCCTCCCAAGCTTCATACTTCAAAGATTATTAACTACACATTATGATACCAATTATTTCTGAATGCATTACGAAACAGGATCTTTGCTAAGCAATTTTTATTGTTTTAATTCTTTTTTTTCTATCACTTTTAATAATTACACTCTGGCTTTTATTACATTAAGATGCAATTAAGAAAGAAAAGTCCTTTACATTTTAAATCTATTTTAATCTTTTTTTCTTACATAAAGAATTCCACAGTCATCCATAATAATGTAACACACAATACAGCCAAAAGACAAAATGAATAGCATAGATAAAACTAGCTGAGTTCCATTTAGGAGGAAATACGCAAGCCTACTTATTTTGAAAACACTTAACATGACATATTCACGGAAAGGATGGAGAATTTTTTATCATACAAAAGCAAAACATAATAGTCTGCTCATATGGAAGAGAAGGTTTTATATTATGTGAGAAAGAGGGTACAGCAAATAAGGTCTCAAAATGCTAAACTTCAGGATTACCAATATTCAACTATCTACCCAGTAAAATGATGCCACATGTAAAGTGAACCTATCCATGTTGAATTATTTTTCCTTTCAAATGTAAGGATAATGTCATCTAACATGCAGCAGAATGAACAAAGGGGCATAAAGTTATTTTAATAACTCAGCCACAATTGGTGAGCCACAGAATTTCACAGCCACATGTACTAAGGCTGAGCGGCATTTTAGTGATGAGGAATATTTCTGTGTGAGCCTTATTCATCCTCTGCTTATCTCCTAGTCCAGAGGACAGCAAACTGGTTTTGGTAAAAGGCCAAATAGTAAATATTTCAGGCTTTGTGGGTCATATATTCTCTGTTGCAACTACTCAACTCTGCCATCATGGCATGAAAGTAACCATAGACAATACATAAACAAGTAAGTGTGCCTGTGTTCCCATAAAAATTTATTTACAAAAACAGGCCCATAGTATAAGTTGCCAAGCACTGTTCTGGTCCTCAAAGTGCTAGAAAGGAGGAGTGAATCAGAGCACACTTAAGACCTGCCTGTAAGAAATGGCAGGAAAAGGCAAAGAGATTGGGTTGATCTTAAGCTACCCACCAAGACACTGAGCAAAGCCCACCATTCCCAGGATCATCCTTCTAAAACCAAAATCAAGTGTAGAGACACGAGGGAGGAAACAGTTCTCAGCAACCTTTGTTCTCAAGATACAAGTGTTTACCTCTCAACGAAGTAGCCTCTACTCCATCATGGGGCTTATCTTCTGAACTGGGTGTCCATTAGAGGTTCAGTAGTAACCTCCCCAAACTGCCTGGCCCTTTTAGTAGCTGGCAGTAGGCAAGGCTAGGGGTCACCGAGTTAAAAGAGGTAATTGGTCTACCAGAAAATGAATCTGTCCACCACCCAAGAATGAAAAGCTCAGTAGACAAAAGCCTTTCCATTCCCAGCCTTGAACTCCTACCTGCTGAATGGCCAAGAAGGGCCCAGGGAGCAGCCAAGGTCCACCACTGTCACCTCTTATCCCCCAAATACATGTGGCTCTTCCCTCTCCTGGATATCTCCTCCTTTCTCATACCCCATTCTGTCTTCAGCTAATCCTGTCACCTCTACGTTCAAAATACGTCAAGAATTTGGCTGGTTCTCACTACCTCCATCACCAGTCCTCTAGTCACGGTCACCTTCTAATTAGTCTCACTGATTCTGTCCTTGACCCCTTCCCAACAATATATTCTTATGTTAAAAAATAAGTGAAGGGCACATCCATCCCATGGCCCCCAACGTCCTTACAATGGCTTACGAGGCCCTCTGCGATCTGGATCTTGACACACTCCCCTCCTGCCTATCACCTCCCTAATCACCCCTTAGTCCTCTCCTCCTCAGGTGGTTCCTTTTTTTTCCATCTCTTATTTTTAGCATGCTTATTCTTTATCCTATTTCTATTCAATTATGCTTATAAATTCCTAGTCTCTTCCTTTTTCACTCCACACCTTTCCTTCCCTCCTTCTCTTAGTCTATAGAAACACGTTTCAAGTAGAATTTAGACATCTAAAAAAAGAGGCGATTTTTTATTACTGTTTCCACCAAATCCTTATCCCAATGTCAAATATGTTAACAATCCAAGAGTTCGGAATGACATCTTTCATAAAAAATTCACTGATCATCTTAAGGATAATATGGAACTAATTCATTAATCTGGTAAATAAGAAGAAATAACAAAGCCATTATTCTGCCTTTTATATACAAACTATTCCCGCCAGGTAATTTTTTTTAAAGGTTTAAATAAAGTTCTTCTTTATAGAAATTTTCCAGCTAATAAATACAGAATAAATGACAGAATGAGAGTTATCACCTTAGTGCAGACCCTAAATAAAGAACTGATCTACGTATCCATAATGGCTGCTAAAACTAAGAGGAGAAAAACCTGATGGGACCCTAACAATGGATCATCAGATTAACAGCACTTGTCAATATTAAGATTTCAAAAAGAGATGGAATGTGTCACCTGGCAGAAGTTACACTATCACATATGAAATACTTCTACCAAAAAACTGAACCTGAATCTGATTAAGCCTTTAGTTTATAGGAAATTTGAGGGACAAGAAAACATCTTAAGTAACACAGGGATGCTGGCAGCAAAATCTATCGTGAGAAACTCCACGGGACAGAAGATCCGGCTTCTTCACCAAATACATTGCAAGGGAGAACAGGAGAGGGACCGATAGCACATATATTCAAAGGGACTTAAGAGACATATCAACCAATGCAATGTGTGAACTTTGTTTAAATCCTTTGATTAACCTGAGGTATTTTTAACTAACTGTGAAAAAATATTTATGAGGTAATCAGGAAAATCGCAACATGAATATTTAGTGATATTAAGAAATGAATTATTGTTCATTTTTTACACATGATAATATTGCATTGATGTTCAACAAAAGTAATCCTTAGTTTTTCAGAGTCATATTGAAATATTTATAAATAAATCTGATTTTCTTTTTACACTGTCATCCTAAAATTCTTCAAGCAAATGACTTTGGTTGTTTTGATCCTATATGAGTTGTTATTTTCAAATATACCCATGAATGAGGTCATGCAGAAAAAACAGGGACGAAAAGTAATAAACACCAGGCACAGATTTAGGGCCATACACGTATGACAAACAAATGAAAAAGCAAATACATTCATATTTGCACCTAGAAAGTCCTTCAAAGCATACAGGGCATATATGAGAGTGTACACTGCTCACCATGTGGAGGTCAGGCTTCTGATAATGTTAACATCTGGAACACAGCCATTGACCTAGAAATTAAGAAAGAAAAAAGACTTCTGACTGACAAACAGCTTTCACAAATCCCTAACACTTTATCCCATGAAAGAAAAAGCGCATCATTTATAAAACTGTATCCAGCAAGACATCAGCCAGAGCTAACAGCAGAGGAAAGAAACAAAGGACTTAAAATTAGAAGCCGAGAAGCAGAGCAATGCAGGGGTTTATGAAGACAGAGTCCACACAGATTCCAGCCCCTTGGGGCACCACCCCAATTGCAACCTTCTACACGAACACTATCCCAGAGTCTGCAACATATGTTCAACCAGGCTGAGAATCCTGTTAAATAAACCAAGAAGGGCAACATAAATGCTGCTTAAAAGCATTTTCATTGAGATGGCTAAAATATAAAAAGCTAATATATTTGTTTAGTGAGAGAGGGAACAGGTTTCAAGGAAAGGGAGAACTGAGATAAATGAGTAAAAGTCAAGATCGATTTCAAGCTTGAAATCAAGGCTGGCTTCTCAACAATGAGAGCCAGTTTACCAATGGGGTGAGTGGGCTCCTCACAGCGAGCTCCACGTGGCCCTCGAAATTGAGGATCCAAACAATTCCAAGGTTTTATGGTGGGTGATGTTAAAGAAAAACTTATTCTGATGCTTTTACAATAAGGAAGACTTTATTCAGGACTATTGCAATAGAGGAGAGAAATGGGGCTCAACTCCAAATAGAACAAACAAGCAGAGTGACGGGCTCAGCGGCCGGAAAATTACTGAGAGGAAACATCAGGGTAGGGGAATTTTTCTGAAACCAACAGACAGTATGATTCTTGCTGAGGGCAGCCCAGGGTGATTAAAATATCAAGGGTGCGGGATCCACTCTAACCTGACTTAGCAGCATTCTTGCTAAAACTGGGCAAGGCAGGCCAAAGACAGTACAGGTATCAAGGTCCAGGTCTAGTCTCATAAAGAGGGCTCAGAGGAGCCTGACGACAGTTTGCTTAAGGAGAAAGTCTTCGTTAGCAATGGGAACTCCACCTTACAGAGATGCACGGTCACAGAACAAGTGTTAGCAGGAGCCAGCAGCAGACCCCAGACTCCCATGTCCAAGCTTGGTGGTGTCACTTACACCCACTGCCTCATAATTCCTTACACAGCATAACACTCATTTTTTCATTTCTCAATTGCTTCACCACTTATAATTTTCGTTTTGAAAAATCTAGAAATGCCTATTTCTATACATCAAGCTATCCTATGATGAGGGAAAACTACCTTTGAACATAATGCCATGTGAGTTCATTTATATACAGTTCCCTATGATACTGAGACAGACTGGTTCGCCATCATGCAACGTAATGAAACCTTTCAAAGTGACCTTGTAATGACAGGCATACAAATAAAATAGAGTGGGGAAAAAAACTAAAACACTGGGTTTAAAAACATCTGAAGAAACAATATATGGGCCAGCCGAGTGGTGCGTTGGTTAAGAGCTGGCTTGGGAGGCCAGAGGACCCCAGTTTGGATCCCACATATGAGGGCCAGTGACGCTGCCCTCTACAGCTAAGATGCTGAACAACAGCTCAACCTGGAGCTAGGCTGCTGGGAGTCACCGGCGATGGCGTAGGCTGCAGTGGGGCTGGCTTGCAGCGGTTGTGAGCTTTTGAGCTGCCGTGAGCCGCTGTGAGCTGCCATCCAGTGGCCGGCGACCGATCTGCCTCGCCCGGGAAGAGCACAATGATAATACCAACATGGGCCAGTGAAGCGACGTCCTCCACAACTAGACTGAAGAACAAAAGGACAGCAACTTGTCTGTTCCCCTTCCCCGGTTCCCCAATGCTGTTCCCCTCCCCCAATTCCCCAATAAAATCTTTTAAAAAAAAAAAAAAAGAATCTGAAGGCGGATGTGCTAACTATTCTCTGGTTGCCCTTTAGATTATTCCCATCTTTTCCGTGGGGACCTGTGCCCTGAGAGGCTGACCTCTATGTCCCGCATCAACCAGGTTGTGGCCCTCTAACCCCTTGGGCGATAGCTGTAGCTTCCAGGAGAGTAAAGAACAAAGGAGCATGGTCCCCTGCTTGCTCCCTGCAGGGTCACCTAGGGGGTCTCTCCACAAGTTACACCTCTCAGGCAACCCGCTCCCTCTGTCCCTAGTTCTACAGGTTGAAGAGTGCCATAGACTGAATATGTTCCCCCAAATTCATATGTTGAGACCTAATCCCCAATGTGATATTTGGAGGAGGGACCTTCGGGAGGTGAGTGGGTCATGGGGGTGGAGCCCTCCTGAATGGGATCAGTGCCTTTATAAATGAGACCCCAGAGAGCTCCCTCACCCCTTCCACCATGTGAGGACACAGAAGACGACCATCTATCAACCAGGAAGTGAGCTCTCACCAGACACCAAGTTTGCCGGCACCTTGATCTCGGACTTCCCAGCCTCCAGAACTGTGAAAAGTGCATTTCTGTCATTCATAAATCATCCAGTCTGTGGTATTCTGTTATAACAGTCGGAACGGATTAAGTCAGAGGGGCTTCCTCCTGTTACCCCATTACCTCACACTTCCTCCTATTACCTAACTGCCCCCTTTCTGCTTCTTAATCCCATGACACACGTTCATTAAACTCTCTGCTGTCACCTCTTTGAGTGTGTCATATATTTTCCTGCCAGACCTCTGAAGGACAGTGGAAAGAGAAAAGGGGGGCAGATAATCTAACATTTAATTTTTCATACTTGCCCTCAATTGACAGGAGGGAAAATAAAGAGAAAACCCAATTTTTAAACTAGATTTTGTGGTATAAAGGGGTGGGATATATCCAAGAAGGATCTGAGTATAAAGATTCAAATGAAAATCCAGAATTTATATACAGAATTCTGCATATGTGTACAGTTTTCTGACATGAGAAATCCAGAAAGAAAAAGGTCAAAAATGTATCGTATTCTCAAAAGTTGACCCAAAAATGCCAGCCGAGTGGCTCAGTTGGTTAAGACCTTGCTCAGGAGTGCGAGCTCTGAGCAACAGAATCACTGGTTTGATTCTCACATGGGCCAGTGAGCTGCGCCCGAGCTGAGCTGCCGCTGAGCTGCCAACAGGTGGCAGGATGGCTCAGCTGGTGAGAGCACGTGCTCCTAACAAGATTGCCTATTCAAGATGGTGGGCTATGCCCACCCGCAACTAAAGACTGAACTCAGCACCTTGAGCTGAGCTGCCACCCGGATGGCTCAGTGGATAGAGCGTGTGCTCTTAACAGCAAGGCTGCCGGCTCAACTCCCACATGGGATGGTGGCTACACCCACCCGCAACTCATTGAACACAGTGCCTTGAGCTGAGCGGCGCAACTGGACTTGGAGATGAGCTTGCTGCACCCTCCACAACTAAGATTGAAGGACAACAACTTCGCTGGTCCCCTCCCCCAATTCCTCAACACTGTTCCCCTCCCCCAATTCCTCAACACTGTTCCCCTCCCCCAATTCCCCAACAAAAAAAATCTTTTAAAAAAAAATAAAACTTGACCCAAAAATGGAGAGCCAGAGCTGTATGAGAAACACAGCACGGAAACTGCCACCGTCTGCCCAGGAGAAGAAAAATGACGAGGAGGATGATGGGTACCTGTGCCAGGTTCACAAGCAGGAAGACATCTCCTCCCCTCACAGAGCGGGCTGGGCGCGAGGTGGAACCACCAACCTCTTCCGCGTGCCACCGCCCACTCCAAGGAGGCAGCTGGGATTGCGTGTTCCTGCAACTTACTCACAGCCCCCATCCAACAGTCAAGTGATATTTCAAAAGCTCATCAGCTCAGCAGGTGCTCAGAGGCAAAAGCAATAGCAAAACAATTCCGGGGCTGTGGAAAAGCTCATCCTGTTGTTCTGGAAAGCTCCGGTCTGCTGAGGCAGGGAGTGTGGAGGCAGCAGCTCAGGAGGAGAAAAGCTCCGGAAACAGCAGACTGGCGGAGCTGAGCCTGCAGGAAATCCCAGAGTTGTCAGCAGGCACCCCATTCTGGGGACAGGGAGGAGGCTCCACCATGGAGTCAACCCCCACCTTACAGACCTGTGGCTGGGCCCAGCTCTGCCCCTCACCTGCTGTGTGGCCAAGGATATGTGGCTCACCCTCCCTGGGACAGTTTCCCCCTTTGCAACATGGAGAGGACCATGCAGTATGAGCCTCACAGGGTTGCTGTGAGGTCAGAGAGAAATGTGCCTCCGAGACCCACTAACTGCCTTCCCAGGTATGTTTTATGTTCATATCCTTCACTACTGGGGTGAACTCAGGTGCACACAAAGAGAAGCCAACAAAATCAACCGCCAATTCTACACCAGGGAGAATGCGACGAGAGAGTGAAGAGCCACCTGGGTAAGGGCACCTCAGAGGGACCAGAGCCTCTAATCCACACAGAGCCCTACGGCCGTGTCCTTTCCCTGTCACTGTCCCTTTCCTGGCTGTACCAGGGGCATTTAGCTCAGAGGCCCAGGCTACCACAGTGGAGAGCCCAGCAGCCTCAGTTGACACTTGGTCTTGCCACATACTGACTGGGTAGCCCTGGACAAGTTATATTACCCCTCTGACTTAATTTCCTCATCTATAAATCAGGCATAACCATCATCATAGTACCTACCTTTCTGTGAGGATTTAAAAATTCATGCCAAGTTCTTAGAATAGTGTCTGGCATACAGTAATAACTCAATAAATGCCAACTATAGTATTGACCAGCACATCTCAGCTAGTTTCCAAAGCCCATCTAGTAAGGAGGCATCTGTGTTCCGAAGAGCAGCCAAATACTGGCACCAGCAGCTCACAAGCCAAGCACTGTATGTCCTTGATTCTAAGATGTGTTTTTTATAGTAATCTTCCTAAACTTACAATATACGAGGTCTGACGATTGAGTTCGCTAACTCATCCTAGAAAAAGTGCTACATACCTCATTGCTGAATGTCACTATGGTCACCTTCGAAGTCCTTCCCTTGGGATGCCATGCACTGATGCCAGTGCCTAGTCCACCCTTCAAAGCAATTTTGGCACTCTTTTTCTGGAATGGCCAT